AAGCTCCTGGACAATGCACACTCCTGGACCAGGCACACTCCTGGACCAGGGACACTCCTGGACCAGGCACACTCCTGGACCAGGCAAGCTCCAGGACCAGGCAAGCTCCTTCACCAGGCAAGCTCCTGGACCAGGCAAGCTGCTGGACCAGGCAAGCTCCTGGACCAGGCACGCTCCTGGACCAGGCAAGCTCCTGGACCAGGCAAGCTCCTTGACCAGGCAAGCTCCTGGACCAGGCACGCTCCTGGACCAGGCACGCTCCTGGACCAGGCAAGCTCCTGGACCTGGCAAGCTCCTAGACCAGGCAAACTCCTGGACCAGGCAAGCTCCTCGACCAGGCAAGCTCCTGGACCAGGCACGCTCCTGGACTAAGCAAGCTCCTGGACTTGGCAAGCTCCTGGCCCAGGCACGCTCCTGAAACAGGCAAGCTCCTGGACCAGGCAAGCTCGTGGACCAGGCAAGCTCCTGGACCAGGCAAGCTCCTGGACCAGGCAAGCTCCTAGACCAGGCAAGCTCCTGGAAGAGGCAAGCTCTTGGACCAGGCAAGCTCCTAGACCAAGCAAGCTCTTGGACCAGGCAAGCTCTTGGACCAGGCAAGCTCCTGGACCAGGCAAGCTCCTGGACCAGGCAAGCTCCTGGACCAGGCACACTCCTGGACCAGGCACGCTCCTGGACCAGGCAACTTCCTGGACCAGGCAAGCTCCTGGACCAGGCAAGCTGCTGGACCAGGCATGCTCCTGGACTAGGCATGCTCCTGGACCAGACAAGCTCCTGGACCAGGCAAGCTCCTGGACCAGGCAAGCTCCTGGACCAGGCACGCTCCTGGACTAGGCACGCTCCTGGACCAGGCAAGCTCCTGGACCAGACAAGCTCCTGGACCAGGCAAGCTCCTGGATCAGACAAGCTCTTGGACTAGGGAAGCTCTTGGACCAGGCAAGCTCCTGGACCAGGCAAGCTCTTGGACCAGGCAAGGTCCTGGACCAGGCAAGCTCTTGGACCAGGCAAGCTCCTGGACCAGGCAAGCTCCTGGATCAGGCAAGCTCCTGGACCAGGCAAGCTCTTGGACCAGGCAGGCTCTTGGACCAGGCAAGCTCCTGGACCAGGCAAGCTCCTGGACCAGGCAAGCTCCTGGACCAGGCACACTCTTGGACCAGGCACACTCCTGGACCAGGCAAGCTCCTGGACCAGGCAAGCTCCTTCACTAAGCAAGCTCCTGGACCAGGCAAGCTGCGGGACCAGGCAAGCTCCTGGACCAGGCACGCTCCTGGACCAGGCAAGCTCCTGGACCAGGTAAGCTCCTTGACCAGGCAAGCTTCTGGACCAGGCAGGCTCCTGGACCAGGCACGCTCCTGGACCAGGCAAGCTCCTGGACCTGGCAAGCTCCTGGACCAGGCAAACTCCTGGACCAGGCAAGCTCCTTGACCAGGCAAGCTCCTGGACCAGACAAGCTCCTGGACCAGGCAAGCTCCTGGACCTCGCACGCTCTTGGACCACACATGCTCCTGGACCAGGCAAGCTCCTGGACAAGGCAACCTCCTGGACCAGGCAACCTCCTGGGCAAGGCAAGCTCCTGGACCAGGCACACTCCTGGACCAGGCACGCTCCTGGACCAGGCCAGCTCCTGGACCAGGCAAGCTCCTAGAGCAAGCAAGCTCCTGGACCAGGCAAGCTCTTGGACCAGGCATGCTCCTGGACCAGGCAAGCTCTTGGACCAGGCAAGCTCCTGGACCAGGAAAGCTCTTGGACCAGGCAAGCTCCTGGACCAGGCACGCTCCTGGACCAGGCACGCTCCTGGACCAGGCAAGCTCCTGGACCAGACAAGCTCCTGGACCAGGCAAGCTCCTGGACCAGGCAAGCTCTTGGACCAGGGAAGCTCTTGGACCAGGCAAGCTCCTGGACCAGGCAAGCTCTTGGACCAGGCAAGGTCCTGGACCAGGCAAGCTCCTGGACCAGGCAAGCTCCTGGACCAGGCAAGCTCTTGGACCAGGCAAGCTCCTGGACCAGGCAAGCTCTTGGACCAGGCAAGCTCTTGGACCAGGCAAGCTCCTGGACCAGGCAAGCTCCTGGACCAGGCAAGCTCCTGGACCAGGCACACTCCTGGACTAAGCACACTCCTGGACCAGGCAAGCTCCTGGACCAGGCAAGCTCCTTCACCAGGCAAGCTATTGGACCAGGCAAGCTGCTGGACCAGGCAAGCTCCTGGACCAGGCACGCTCCTGGACCAGTCCTGGACCAGGCAAGCTCCTTGACCAGGCAAGCTCCTGGACCAGGCAAGCTCTTGGACCAGGCAAGCTCCTGGACCAGGCAAGCTCCTGGACCAGGCACGCTCCTGGACCAGTCCTGGACCAGGCAAGCTCCTTGACCAGGCAAGCTCCTGGACCAGACAAGCTCCTGGACCAGGCAAGCTCCTGGACCTCGCACGCTCCTGGACCACACATGCTCCTGGACCAGGCAAGCTCCAAGACAAGGCAAGCTCCTGGACTAGGCAACCTCCTGGGCAAGGCAAGCTCCTGGACCAGGCACACTCCTGGACCAGGCACGCTCCTGGACCAGGCCAGCTCCTGGACCAGGCAAGCTCCTAGAGCAGGCAAGCTCCTGGACCAGGCAAGCTCTTCGACCAGGCATGCTCCTAAACCAGGCAAGCTCTTGGACCAGGCAAGCTCCTGGACCAGGCAAGCTCCTGGACCAGGCAAGCTCCTGGACCAGGCACGCTCCTGGACCAGGCACGCTCCTGGACCAGGCAAGCTCCTGGACCAGACAAGCTCCTGGACCAGGCAAGCTCCTGGACCAGGCAAGCTCTTGGACCAGGGAAGCTCTTGGACCAGGCAAGCTCCTGGACCAGGCAAGCTCTTGGACCAGGCAAGGTCCTGGACCAGGCAAGCTCCTGGACCAGGCAAGCTCTTGGACCAGGCAAGCTCTTTGACCAGGCAAGCTCCTGGACCAGGCAAGCTCTTGGACCAGGCAAGCTCCTGGACCAGGCAAGCTCCTGGACTAGGCAAGTTCCTGGACCAGGCACACTCCTGGACTAAGCACACTCCTGGACCAGGCAAGCTCCTGGACCAGGCAAGCTCCTTCACCAGGCAAGCTATTGGACCAGGCAAGCTGCTGGACCAGGCAAGCTCCTGGACCAGGCACGCTCCTGGACCAGTCCTGGACCAGGCAAGCTCCTTGACCAGGCAAGCTCCTGGACCAGGCAAGCTCTTGGACCAGGCAAGCTCCTGGACCAGGCAAGCTCTTGGACCAGGCAGGCTCCTGGACAAGGCAGGCTCCTGGACCAGGCAAGCTCCTGGACCAGGCAAGCTCTTGGACCAGGCAAGCTCCTGAACAGGCAAGCTCCTGGACCAGGCAAGCTCCTGGACCAGGCAAGCTCCTGGACCAGGCAAGCTCCTGGACCAGGCACGCTCCTGGACCAGGCAAGCTCCTAGACCAGGCAAGCTGGTGGACCAGGCAAGCTGGTGGACCAGGCACGCTCCTAGACCAGGCAAGCTCCTGGACCAGGCAAGCTCCTTCACCAGGCAAGCTCCTGGACCAGGCAAGCTCCTAGACCAGGCAAGCTCCTGGACCAGGCAAGCTCGTGGACCAGGCACGCTCCTGGACCAGGCATGCTCCTGGACCAGGCAATCTCCTGGACCAGGCAAGCTTCTGGACCAGGCAAGCTCCTGGACTAGGCAAGCTCCTGGACCAGGCAAGCTGCTGGACCAGGCATGCTCCTGGACCTGGCAAGCTCCTGGACCAGGCAAGCTCTCGGACCAGGCAAGTTCCTGGACCAGGCAAGCTCCTGGACCAGGCAAGCTCCTGGACCAGGCAAGCTCCTGGACCAGGCAAGCTCTTGGACCCGGCAAGCTCTTGGACCAGGCAAGCTCCTGGACCAGGCAAGCTCTTGGACCAGGCAAGCTCTTGGACCAGGCAAGATCCTGGACCAGGCAAGCTTCTGGACCAGGCAAGCTCCTGGACCAGGCAAGCTCCTAGACCAGGCAAGCTCTTGGACCAGGCAAGCTCCTTCACCAGGCAAGCTCCTGGACCAGGCAAGCAGCTGGACCAGGCAAGCTCCTAGACCAGGCATGCTCCTGGACCAGGCAAGCTCCTGGACCAGGCAAGCTCCTGGACCAGGCAAGCTTCTGGACCAGGCAAGCTCTTCGACCAGGCACGCTCCTGGACCAGGCAAGCTCCTGGACCAGGCAAGCTCTGGAACATGCAAGCTCCTGGACCAGGTAAGCTCCTGGACCAGGCAAGCTCTTGAACCAGGAAAGCTCCTGGACCAGGCAAGCCCCTGGACCAAGCATGCTCCTGGACCAAGCAAGCTCCTGGACCTGGCAAGCTCCTGGACCAGGCACGCTCCTGGAACAGGCAAGCTTCTGGACCAGGCAAGCTCTTGGACCAGGCAAGCTCCTGGACCAGGCAAGCTCCTGGAACAGGCACGCTCCTGGACCAGGCAAGCTCCTAGACCAGGCAAGCTCCTGGACCAGGCAAGCTCCTGGACCAGGCAAGCTCTTGGACCAGGCAAGCTCCTGGACCAGGCAAGCTTTTGGACCAGGCAAGCTCTTGGACCAGGCAAGCTCCTGGACCAGGCAAGCTCCTGGACCAGGCAAGCTCCTGGACCAGGCAAGCTCCTGGACCGGAACACTCCTGGACCAGGCACGCTCCTGGACCAGGCAAGCTCCTGGATCAGGCAAGCTCCTTCACTAGGCAAGCTCTTGGACCAGGCAAGCTGCTGGACCAGGCAAGCTCCTGGACCAAGCATGCTCCTGGACCAGGCAAGCTCCTGGACCAAGCAAGCTCCTGGACCAGGCACGCTCTTGGACCAGGCACGCTCCTGGACCAGGCAAGCTCCTGGACCAGGCAAGCTCCTGGACCAGGCAAGCTCCTGGACCAGGCAAGCTCTTGGACCAGGCAAGCGCTTGGACCAGGAAAGCTCCTGGACCAGGCAAGCTCTTGGACCAGGCAAGCTCTTGGACCAGGCAAGGTCCTGGACCAGGCAAGCTCCTGGACGAGGCAAGCTCCTAGACGAGGCAAGATCCTGGACGAGGCAAGCTCTTGGACCAGGCAAGCTCCAAGATAGGGGGGAGGCATGAGAGGGGGGAGGCATGAGAGGGGGGAGGCATGAGAGGGGGGAGGCATGAGAGGGGGGAGGCATGAGAGGGGGAAGGCATGAGAGGGGGAAGGCATGAGAGGGGGAAGGCATGAGAGGAGGAAGGCATGAGAGGGGGAAGGCATGAGAGGGGGAAGGCATGAGAGGGGGAAGGCAAGAGAGGGGGAAGGCATGAGAAGGGGAAGGCATGAGAGGGGGAAGGCATGAGAGGGGGAAGGCATGAGAGGGGGAAGGCATGAGAGGGGGAAGGCATGAGAGGGGGAAGGCATGAGAGGGGGAAGGCATGAGAGGGGGAAGGCATGAGAAGGGGAAGGCATGAGAGGGGGAAGGCATGAGAGGGGAAAGGCATGAGAGGGAGAAGGCATGAGAGGGGGAAGGCATGAGGGCGGGAAGGCATGAGAGGGGGAAGGCATGAGAGGGGGAAGGCATGAGAGGGGGAAGGCATGAGAGGGGGAAGGCATGAGAGGGGAAAGGCATGAGAGGGGGAAGGCATGAGAGGGGGAAGGCATGAGAGGGGGAAGGCATGAGAGGGGGAAGGCATGAGAGGGGGAAGGCATGAGAGGGGGAAGGCATGAGAGGGGGCAAGCATGAGAAGGGGAAGGCATGAGAGGGGGAAGGCATGAGAGGTGGAAGGCATGAGAGGGGGAAGGCATGAGAGGGGGAAGGCATGAGAGGGGGAAGGCTTGAGAGGGGGAAGGCATGAGAGGGGGAATGCGGAGATAACTGCTGCAACGGGAGCTAGATTACGGCTGCATGGGTGCTCGTGTGATCTCCGCGTTCGTTAGTCCTTAGTCGTTTCCTTGTGCGCACACTACTTGCTAGTTCACGGGGAAAGTTGGCAAGAGTTCCACTAGGAAAAGTTGAGAACAATGGTACAATGAAGTTGGCATCACAAGACTACATCAGAGCAAACATTCAGGTCGGCCAACTGCCAGCGCAGCTTGGTCGACCGCGTTCCAGTACGACTTGGTCGACCGCGCTCCAGCAGTGCAAGGTCGACGGCGTGCCAACGTCCCAGGTTGACGGCGTGCCAGCGTTGCTCACGCAGAACAGCAGCGCACCCGCTTCGCAGGTGCGCGCAGATGATTGGCGTGCAGAGTCTCGTCACCTGCACAGCGCACACACCACGTCAACCTCGCGCTGACGCCTGCTTCTGATCGGCCACGTCGACCTCGGGATACCACCCCCGAGGTCGGGCTCGCCAACTTCGCCTGGGCGACCGTCGCACTCCTCCGCAGAACCTCGTCACCCAGATAACCTGGTCGACCGGGCAACCACGTCGACCAGCTGCTCCCGTATGTGCCGGTCGACCTCTCAAGACCACGGCCACCACAAAGTCTACCTCACCAGGTCGACCACGCCCCTAGGTCGACCAGCTCCAGGTCGACGTCACTCCTGGTCCACCAGCTCCACGTCGACCAGCATTCCTGGTCGACCTACTCCTCGTCGACCAGCGCAGTTGTCGGCCGACCACCCAAGTCGGCTACCCGAAGTCGGCGTCACGAAGTTAACGCCCAGCTACCCGACGCCCAATTGCTCGGCGTCCTGAGTCAAGGTCGACGTCGGCTCCTCCTTCGTCGACCACCAGGTCAGGTCGACCACCCGCAGGTCGACCAGCAAGTCTTGTCAGCCGACCACCGAAGTCGGCTGCCCCAAGTTAACGTCACCAAGTTGACGTCCCCCGCAGGTCGACCTCCCAGGTCGACCTCCCTGAAGTCGGCGCCACCCTGAAGTCGGCGCCCGTGCAGTGGCCCCCGTGCAGGTCGACCTCCTCGTCAACCAGCTCGCCCACTGCTGCAGGTCGGCTGCTCCCCTCACACCCGACCACGACGTCGGCCCGCCCAAGCGAGGACGGGGCCAACACACAACTCCCGTTGACACTTTCCTGCCGCGTTCACGCTTGGGCCCCAAGCCCACACGGCAGTACTCCACAGAGAATAGCTCGTCGACGTGCACCCAACACACAGCACGTCGTCCACCGCACCAGCCATGCAAGAGGGCATGGCACCTACTGCTGCACGTCGTCAACTTCGTCGCCCACGTCGGCCAAGCGCACCTGGCCGATTGCGACGGAGCACCGGTTGAAGGCCGGATAGTGCAGCGCCTTCGTCAGAAAGTCGGCCGGCTGCTCAGCGGTCGGGATGTACTGCAGAGAGAACTTCTCGCGCTTCACCATGTGCTGCAGCCAGGCCTGTCGCCGCTCCATGTGCTTGAGGTTGCCCGTCAACCCCATGCCCTCGGCGACGGTGATGGCCGACTTGTTGTCCACCCGAAGGACGGTCGGCTTCCCAGCATCCAGCTGCTGGAACTCTGCGAGGAGGAAGCGCAGTCGACGTCCCTCCTTCCCGGCTTCCGTGGCCGCCACATACTCCGACTCGGTCGACGACAATGTCGCGCACTTGATGCGCTGGCTCGACCAGGAGACCGCGGCCCCTCCGTAGACGAACACGTAGCCTCCCGTGCTCGTCCTGTTCTGCTTGTCACCGGCGTCGTCGGCGTCCACGTAGCCGACCAGCTCCAGCGACTCAGGTCCACCGTCGAACTCCAGGGCGGTGTCACGCGTGTTGGCGAGGTAGGCGAGGCAGCGGTCGACCTCGCGCCAGTGCTGGTCGCTCCTCACCGTGAGGCCGCTCCCCAGCTTGCTGCAGGCGAAGGCGACATCCGGCCTCGTCGTCGTCGCCGCGAACTGCAGCGAGCCGACCTTCTGCCGGTACTCCTCCTCCTGTCGCTCCTGCGCCTCCTCGTCGTCGAAGGTGAGCTCGGCGTAGGCGTCGACCGAGACCGGCGTCTTCGGAGTCCGCCCGGTCTCCTCCTCGTCGATGAAGCGCCTACGCAGCTTGTCGGCGTAGCCCTGCTGGTGCAGCCACAGCTTCCCCGCCGACCTGTCGCGGACGATCTCCAGCCCAAGGTACTTCTGCACCGGCGAGATCTCACGCAGCTCGAAGGCGGACTCCAGCAGGTCCTTCAGCTCCTTCAGCATCTCGGTGCTGCTGCTGGCGGCGAGCAGGTCGTCGACGTAGACCACCACCCAGCAGGCCACTCCGTCCTTGCTGACCTTGAAGTAGAGAGCCTCGTCGACCTGGCTCTTCTTCCACCCGGCGCCGACCAGCACGTCGTTGAGCGCCAAGTAGCACAACAGCGGCGACTGCTTCAGACCGTACAGACTCTTCAGCAGCTTGCAGACCCGGCCGGTTCCGTCGTTGAAGTAGTCCGGCTGGGTCATGTAAAGCACCCGGTCGAGCTTGCTCTGCAGGAAGGCGTTCTTCATGTCGAGCTGCATGAGGTTGAGATTGAGGACGGTGACGATGCTGAGGAAGATCCTCAGGGTGACGTAGCTGCCCACCGGCGCGAACGTCTTGTCGTAGTCGGCGCCGTACACCTGCGTGAAGCCCTTCACGACCAGCCTCGCCTTCTCGCGCTCGACGGTGTCGTCGACGTGGTACTTCGTCGTCAACACCCACCGATTCTTCATGATGTTGACTCCCGGCGGGCGTTCGACCAGCTCCCACGTGCCCATATTGATGAGGCTGCGGATCTCCTCCATGGCGGCCTTCACCGCCGGGCCCTTCCAGCTCGCCAACGCCTCCTTCACCGTCATCGTCGAGATGTCCCATCGGTGTTCGGGGTCGGCCAGCATGTCAGGGTCGAGCTCCGGAAACTCCTCATCGTCCTCGGCGTCGTCGTACAGCAGGTCGTCGTCATCGTCGACGTCGTAGACCGTGGTGAAGGCAGCGGGGACAAAGAAGTCCGGCGGCCTCCGAACTCTGTCCGAATTCCGGGTTTCCGGCCGAACCTCCACCACGTCACTCTTGGTGGACTCCCCGGCGTCACCGTCTTCGCTGCCCTCGTCGTCCTGCTGCACCTCGGTCGACTTCCTGGTCGACCTCTCCCCTTTGGTCGGCTCCCCTACCGACTGCCCGGTCGCCGACTGCTCCGTAGTCGGCTTTACGGCTGCCTGCTCCCCTGTCGGCTGCTGCTCCTCGACCTGCTCCTCCCCTGTCGACGTCGGCTTCAATCCCATGTCGACCTGCCGCTCGTCACGTCGGCCACCGGCGATGCTCTTGGCCGGCGCCGAAGGCGACGTCCCACTACTCCCCTCATCGTCGGAGGCCGACACCGAGGTCAGCCCACGCAGGTCGGCCACAAGGGGAGGGGCAGGGGTTGTAGGGGGAGGGGTAGGGGGGCGGACGTCCTCGACGTCCTCAGCAGCAAGCTCACCGACCTCGACAAGCAGCGGCAGCGTCGCCGACGAGGTGTCAGAGGGCGGGGTGGACGACGAGCGGCCGGACACCGGCCCGTGCTCCGACTTCCACTCGGCCAGCGACATCTCCTCGTAGAACACCACGTCCGACGTGGTGACCACCCGGTTGGCGTCGACGTCGAGGAGCTCCCAGCCCTTGCTCGCCGCCGACACGCCAAGGTGAAGGCCCCACCGGGCCTTCGGCTGCAGCTTCCCACCACGCTGCTGCTCGGGGACAAGGAACTGCGCCATGCAGCTCCACACTCGCGCCAACGACAAGTCGGGCCTCTGCCCGGTCAGGAGCTGGTATGGTGTCGTCCCAGACGGCAACGTCGACCGCTCAAGGCAGTTGCGGACCCAGATGGGTGCCGCAGAGCGAGGTGCCACCAGTGGTGCTGCACACCCATGTGCAGCAGCATCGTCCGCACGGACTCCACCACCGTCCGCATTTCCCGCTCCGCCATGCCGTTCTGCTGCGGGGTGTACGGGCAGGGCAGGTCGTGGACGATCCCTTTGTCGTCCACGAAGTCGGTGAACTTCTTTCCGAGGAACTCCCCTCCTCGGTCCGAGCGCAACTGCAGCACCGACTTCTTCGTCTGCCTTTCCACCAACACCAGCCACTTCTGGAACTCCAGCAGCACATCCGACTTCTTGGCGACCGGCCTCACCCACACGAAGCGGGTCTTGCGGTCCTTCAGCAGCAGGAAGTACAAGCTGCCGTCCTTGGCAGCCACGCGGAACGGCCCGCACAGGTCGATGTGCACGACGGCCAGCACGTCGTCGGCGTCGGAGCCTTGATCGGGGAAGGTGTGCCGCGCCAGCTTCCCGCCGACGCACGAGACACATGGAGAGTCGGCGCCCGTCGCCGACTTGAGGTCCAGCCCAATGGCGACCTCGTTCTTCGCCGAGCTCCTGATGGTGTGCATGCCGACGTGCGCAAGCCTCGCGTGCATCCGGTCCGGCGTCGACTTCGTCTTCGAGACGATTGCCCGTAGAGCCACGACCTCCGGCGTGGGCGACGTCGACGTCGGTGAGCAGGGACGCAAGTCGGTGCAGAGGACTCGCCCGGAGTACGTCGCCCGACCGAGCACCTCCCCAGCCGCCGAGACAAGCAGCATGGCGTCTCCGTCCTCCTGCAGCTTCACGCCGTGCTCCTTCAGCTGGCCGGCCGACAGCAGGTTGGCCCGCACACCCGGGACGTACAGCACGTCGGGGATGAGCACCTGCTTCCCGGCCTCTCCTTGTAGGGCGACGGTGCCACGGCCCTGGACGTCCTGCAGCGCCCCATTGAAGCCGCGCACATGCTTGATGGAGCCGCTCGGCTGCAGGTCGACGAAGACCTCCTTCGTCCCCATCAGGTGATGGGAGCAGCCGCTGTCGAGCAGGACCACCTCCGGGTTCGCCTGCACAGCTGCCGCCACCGCCTGGAAGTCCTCTCCGGCCTCCAGCGCCAGCGAGACGGTCGACTCCACGACGCCGACCAGTGAGCACGACGCCGTCTTGTCATCCCGCGTCTTGCCGCCAGCAGAGGAGTCGGCGTCCTTCGCCGAAGTCGACGTCTTGGTCGACTGCTTCTCCTTGCGCGGCTGATTTCCTCCTCGACGAGGACGACGATTGCTCGACCTCCCGCGGCCGCCCTTGTCGTCGTCGTCGGAGTCACTGCGGTCGGGACACTCGAAGGAGAGGTGGTCGGGGCTGTGGCAGATCCAGCACTCCCGACGTCGACCTCCTCCTCCTCGACCGCCGTCCTTGGTCGACTTCTTGTCGACCTCCTTGGTCGGCTTCCAGCCACCGCTCCCGCCGCCACCAGACTGTCCACGCTGACCTGGTCGACCTCCTTGCTTCGCCGGGGCGACGAAGTTGGCCTGCGCCAAGAGCTCCTGCGACCGCTCGGCCTCCTGCATCGCCTCGTCCTGCAGGATGTACGAGGTCAAGTTGTCCTTGTTGAGCGTCGCTCGACAACCCCTGCATGACGTGGGTGACGTACGACGCCATCGAGTACTGCGCGCCGGCCATCCTGATGGTGGCGAAAATTCGCCGGGCTCGGTTGCAGTAGTCGGTCGCCGTCTCCTCGTCGCCCATACGCAGGTGCGTCAGCTGCCCCTCCAGCTGGGAGATGAACAAGTCGTCGGTGACTTGGTAGGTCGACTCAATGAAGTGCCACGCCTGGTGGCCGGCGTTGAGG